ATGCTGGAGAGGAAGTTCTCTAACTCCCTCGCTACCCAGTTCCCACCATAGTACTTAGGCTTGGGAATATCAACCCGGGGTGCTACTACCCCCGTAGCTGTGCCGGACGCCACCTCCCGTTTGCACAATGTCCAGTTCGCTCGCATTTCCTCCATTTGCTCACGAAAAGTGCCAAACTCCTGATCAACATAGCCACGTAGGGTGGCAAACTCCCCTAACATAAGTTCTCGAAATGCTTAGAGCTCCTGCCGAAAGTCACCACTTAGGGCATTGAGTGACCCTTTGACAGCATTTTGGACTTCAGCGTCCTCCGACTCCAGCCCATCCATGCGCTGGTGAGCATCCTCAAGCTGCTTCAACACGTTGGCTATGGACCCCTCCATGTTTGCCACACGTGCCTCTAAGCCCGCCATGATGTCCTTCGACCTAGCCCTCGTCCTCGCTCCTACTGGAGGGGGATTTGTTTCCCTTCCACGTAGAGCCTCCTTTTGGGTGCCATTCACGTCTGATAGCTCCGTCATAGCTTCCTCCATACAAGGTGTGACACCTCACGACCTTAGCTCTGATACCAACTATCACGGACTTGAACCTTTCCAAGCTCCCATGCGGCTTTAGACACTTTCCAGCCCCCTTGAAGCGCTAAGTCAGCCTACCCGAGTGTGCTAGCTTAGTAAAGACTAAGGCTAGACAAGTGCTTTGCTTACTTGGGTGTGTAGGAATAGATTAGGCAAGTGAGCAAAGAGAGTTTGGGAATGTATGAACACTTTTATTACTTGAGAGGAGATTACAACTTAGGTTGCTTGGTGAGAAGCAAATGAACTCCCACCTCCTATTTATAGGCCTTACAAGAACATTCTAAATGTGTACAAATGTGTGATCTAGATTTAGTATTTAGAATCCTCCAAAGAAATATCTACACAATTCTAGAACTATCTATAATGTACAAGACAAGTTTAGAGAATTTTAGAGAATTCTATACAATTCTAGACAAGTCTAGAAAAGGTTAGACAACTCCACTCTAATTTAGAGAATTCCGGAAAGTTCCATACTTGTATAGAGAAGTCTAGAAAGTTTCGGTCCATGTAGGCTCCATGTCATTGTCTGCTGGGTGTCCACGTGACGCCTGCGTGACGTAGCTTCTTGGTTGCGGGGCGTGACATTTGGCTCTGTTATTATTGTATGGCCATCACTCAAAATCACAGAGAACATCGTTGTTATTTTTATAGTTAAACCAATAGTTATGCTCACAGCTCACCGTAAGCTCTTACGCAAACACAATAATGATTTCTTAGACTTTCTCAATTGTACTTTAATATAATTTTCGTAGCTTTATGCTAGAGTTTTGATTACATTTTGAAATGAAAATGATATCTTTAGACAATTTCATTAATAATAAGAACTGTTCGAAAAGTAGACAAACTCATTAGAAATTTTGAAGTTTACTTTTGTTTTGACAGTGGACATTCTGAGACCCAAGCAGAAAAGGCCAGTAAAACTCTCCCAATCTAAATTTAACGTCTATGTCGCGACAAAAACAATAGGTTTCGATGATGGAATATTAGATAGGACAACTATAAAGAAAGGTTCAATAACTTCTTAGTTTGGCCCACTACATCCAATATTAGTTTTGCCACTATATGGGATATTTTTTGCGTGGAGCATATTGTCAAATTAAGAATGTGCCGCTATAATTGTCAAAATCATGTGAGGCACAAGTTCATAAACCCGGTAGAATACAATCATGAAGAATGCACCTTGAAGCAGTACAACGTTTAGGAACCCTAATTGAAGAAACACTTCTGGCCAAAGTTGCTCACTGAGATGATTTCTTCCCCTTGAAGATGCGATCATAGCGTTCCTCCCATGAATGATACACCACATATGAGAGACAAATCTTCCGATACAAGTTTTATGCCGAATTTACCTTACAGCGATTACTCACCCAAGAAACCGAGGAGTCCAAATTCTGGGTTGGAGTTTGGAGATTACACTTATCTTGAATGAATCTCCAAATTGAGGAGATAAAATTGCATTGAAAAAACAGATTATGGTGAGATTCTTGAGATGATTCTCACAAGACACACAGATTGTGATGTTGAGTCATTGACTTGTTGTCAAATGTTGGCAATCATGATGGAATAGCAAGTCACAAATTGAACTTCATACGCGGAATTATTAGTGATTCCCAGACCAAGTTGTGCCATGGGACATGAGTTACATGTCCCGCAAGATGAGCAGGGGCATGTTTATATATGGCTGTTAGTTCCTGTTGGTGAGCAATGCAGAGAAGTTTGTCATTCCTGGAAGCACATGATATAGGTAACTCTAGAAGCTCTGGATTGGCCATGGTTAGACAGTGTGGGATGGATCAAGAATTATTCACGATGGAGGAGTCCATTCTGGTGTCATCATTGTAACCAATGCTTATAGGATCCTGTTATTTTCACTTGGTGTCATCATTGTAACCAAATGCTCATAAGGGAAGAAAATCTTGAGCACAGATGACCCCTTCTCTTACGTTTTTGAATGTGAAAATCAATGCTCATAGGATCCTGTTATTTTCACTTTTTTTTTTTTTTTCACCAGTAAGATGGCAACAGAGAGCTGCATAATAATTTAATCTGATATTTTGGTGAAATAATATATATATATATATATATATATATATATATTGTACGTAGTAATTGCCACTCATTGAAATATGGTGCGAAGAATACAATAATTGATACATGAGAATGACACCACCTGAACATTGCGTCTTCACTTATCTGATCCATGATGGTTGTATTATTAGCTTACACAGTAAGCTACTTTTTAAGCCTATAAATACCAATGTATCTTGTATGCATTAACTGAGATAAGCAAGAATAAAGAGTTCACTCTCTGTCAATTTATTTATTCTTCCTCTCTGAACTTATATTTTGCTATATTTATAATCATTTAAAATATATATATATATATATTTTAAATGATCAAAACATGAATCGTTTGGTTTGGTGTGCAGGAATAAAATGGAATGGAATGCAACTTGGAATGGAATAAGAATGAGAATGGAATGGAATGAATATTACCATTCTAATGTTTGGTGTTGCACGGTGAATCGTTATGGAATTGAATGATTATTATCATTTTAATGTTTGGTGTTGCATTAAATATGGAATGGAATGGTTTTTCTCAAAAATACTCTTTTCATTATTTTTTAGTAAAATCAATCTAATTAATATTTTGAATATATATATATATATATATATATATATATATATATATATATGTGGTTGAAAGTTCTGTAACTCTTTGTCAATGACAGTTCTGAGTATATTCAGAAGAGAGAGCTTTACCACGTCTAATAAAGAAGCTCGAGAAACGTAAAATAGAATGTGAAAGATTTTTGGACTATTCAAAATATTTTTACCTTATTGGAATATGATGAAAGGCTTATTGAGAATATTACAAAAATATTTAATTTTACTATGGAATGGAATGATCATTCCATAGGTTTAGTAATAGAATAGATTTTCATTCCCTGAAATGGATTTTCATTCTATTGGAATGATCATTCCATTCTATTTATGCATACCAAACAAACGAATGGTTAGAATGGGCATTCCATTTCATTCCATTACTGTACACCAAATGTAGCAGAATAGTCACCAAATTTAAAATTTTAATATTAAAATAAATTATAGGCGCAGGTATTTTGTCAAGGAAATTTTAAAATTAACTAAAACTTACCCATCTCAAAACAATAATAATAATAATGAAATATACAGCAAATAGAACTAGAAACGAGAATTTGAATTGACTTAGATGCGGGTGGGTTTACCTTCACTGCAGTTATTGGCCTTCAATCGAATTCGCTTTCTTGGGCTTATTGGACGCACAAAAGTCAGCAACACGTCTAAACCAAACCCGATAATGCACCCAATAGCCATGATCACATAGACAAGCCTGTAACCACAGGCGGACACAGAGGGGGGCTTGGGTGGGCTTGAGGGCCCCCCTCCCAAATTTTTTTATTTTTTTTTATTTTTAATAATGCTAAATTTAGTCCAATTCAAAAAAAAAATAAAATTTAGTAACAGTATTAGCCCTCCTAAATATTAACTCATCCAAATAAGTCCAAGATTTAAGCTACAATTTTAAAACAAAGCCCAACTAAATAAGCCTAAGACAAACAAGCCCTAAACAATCATTAAAGCCCGATTAAGAGCTCCTCCTAATCTTCTATGTGACCTAGCCCCTCTCTCTCTAAAGTCTAATCGTATTTCCTTCAAAATTTTCAACTTTTTCATCTTTCGATCCCCCTAAGATTCAATTATCCTGTTAAATTTTTTTTTTTGCTTAGCCCTGGATTCGCCCTTGCCTGTAACAGTGGGCACCTATGCATGTATAGCCGCCCCGGAGGTGCTCGTAGCCTGTGCATCATATAAGAATCCGGCAATGAGGCCGGAGAAGAGAAAGGAGCCGAGTGGAATATTGAGTATGACAATGTTGTAGATGAGACCATAGTTTTTGAGGCCAAAAAGTTCCGGAGGCAATCGGAATTGTGACAGCAAAAAGGGCTCCATAGCATATACCAACCACCACTGAACCAATGTACATTGAACCAGGCACAGCCAAGGCCATTGGGATGAATCCAATAGCCATCATAATACGAAAAGCTGCATTCCATACTGATCTCGGCAATCCAGATTTCCTGGAAGTAATAAAATTAGTAATGACCAAAACAAAAAATGGTGTAGGCAATTTTTTTCTAGGTCATTTTCAAAACTACTTTATGTGGTGCAAAATTGGGCAATCGGGACGAATATGTCCCTCTACAAAGATTCAGTTTGACGTAATTTGGGAGATGAGACCACTTGTTATGTGGTCCACTGGTCCATGTTTCGGTGAGTCCAGAATGAATTTCATACCCAACAACAAAGAGAAAAATAGGAGCATTTCTGTACCTATTGCAGTACTTGTGTGAGTGTGAGTGTGAGTGTGAGTGTGAGCTTAGCTTACTTGATGAAGAACTCAGAAACCCAACCGGAGCTGATCCGTCCGAAAAATCCTCCAATGCTAAAAAGAGAAACAAAGATAGAATCATCCGTGTATCCAAACGCCACCGCCATCCGTCCCAAATTATTTGTCACAGTAATAGCTGGTCCCACTCCACAAAGAAACGATACAAACAGTACCCAAAAGTCAATAGCCGCTAACGCCTCCAACGCCGTGTGGTCCTCTCCGATCACCGCCCTCCGCCTCCTCTCCACTTCCACCACCGTGTCCCTGTTGCTCTCCTCCTCTGACGCCGCCAGTAACGGACTCGTCACGTCGCTTTCGATGTACGAACTAGATGTAGAAGTGGACTTATTTGAGCTGCTTAACGCAACGTACAGAGGGATCAACAACGGCGAAGCTAAAAGGATGAGAAGTGTAACCGCGAAGGCTAGAGAAAAGGCCTCGCCGTGAGTGCCGCTGAGATCGAATGCTAAAAGATAAACGGCTACTGCGACGGCAACGACATTGAAAACTACTAAGTAACGAGTTTCCTCTGTTTCTCCGGTGGTGGACGACGGTGGGACTTCACGGAGGAAGATGATTCCGGTGAAGCAAACCACGAAAGGGACGATTGCGAGCATGAGAAGGTAAGTGTAGTCACTGTCTGAGAATAAAGCAGTGCAGAAATCGGTGAATATGGCTGAGCTCAGACCTAGATAACCCTTCAGAATCCCAGCAACTGGCCCTCTGTGGTTCCGGAAGTTCCGAAAGCAAGTCACGAGCACAGCGGACTTCACGGAGGAAGATGATTCCGGTGAAGCAAACCACGAAAGGGACGATTGCGAGCATGAGAAGGTAAGTGTAGTCACTGTCTGAGAATAAAGCAGTGCAGAAATCGGTGAATATGGCTGAGCTCAGACCTAGATAACCCTTCAGAATCCCAGCAACTGGCCCTCTGTGGTTCCGGAAGTTCCGAAAGCAAGTCACGAGCACAGCGGTGTTCATCCAGGTACCGCTATTCCCTCCCAAGCACATAAATATACACATCTGTATACAGTTATACACATACATATGCAAGTATTTGTATGAGTAAAATAAAGTTTGTTTAAATGTCTTAATGAAGATTATTATACTAAGCTTACCAGCCAATAAGGGGGAGATTGAATTGTGGCGCTAATGACGAGCCACTGTCCGCCGTAACCGATGAATCCTGCGATAGAACCAATGAGAAGGAGGGCTGGAGTGGGCAAGCGGTGGGAGGAGATGCCGGCGAGAAGGCCAAAGGCGATGCCGACATCTTTGGCCACGGAGAGGTTGTTGAGCTGGAGTTGGGTGAGGTTCATGATTGATTCGAGAGCTTGTGAGTACTTTGAGGAGCTGTAGGTGTTGCCTGAGACGGATTGTACCCAAACGGCAGACACAAACCCTAGCCATTCACCGGCGGGGGAGGTCGGAGATAGCCACATGGGCCTACTGGAGGAACTATCACTACCAGTCTATTGCAGACTTCCAGTTGGTGGTGGTAATTATTGAACTGTAATTGGTGTAGTTGTTAACCTTTAGTGATGCGGACCGTCAGCTCTTACGACGCCACACAAACACTGGTCCAATCCATACCAATTATATCTTGACTTTCTGAATTGTGCTCTCCGATACATAATTTCACTAATTTTGTAATGAAAATGATATCTTTAGACAATTCCACTAGTAATAACAACGGTTTGAATATAGCTACTCATACCGAACTCTGAAAATAACAATCATTTTGAAAGAAAAAAAAAATTAATAATAATAATAATTCCGAAGGTAGAACAACTAGTCAATGATTATGGCATTGGTAAGTAAAACGAAAGGTCCAATAATTTGTTTGAGCGTGGGATATTGTTGATGTCAAATCATAGATGCGTCTGAAGAGGAAGACCAATTTATTGTCACGTTAAATAGATGACAGAGACAAACTACAAGCTTATTTAAAAGATCCCAATAATAAACAGTAGCATTATCCCACACACCTGAGAGACGCATTATTTACTTCAACCTATACATATTTATACAGCTCATTCATTACACAACACGCACAAACACCTATGTAGTACGGAGTTGTATGTGTCATGTTCGTGTGTGCGTGTCATGGGCGAAACTTGCAAGTAGTTTTGAACTGCTGTGTTGCTGATTCGTTCCCAGCGTACTGGTTGTCCACCCACGCAGAGTAACCCCCACCCAATGGAGCTCAAGAGTCAAGACATACACAAATGCACAACACACACATATATATATAAGCTCGGAACTAAATGAACAAGCTGGGTCACCTCTTGGAGGCATCCATGAGAGATTTTGCCAAGTGCAAAAGGGTTTTTCCTCAAAGGAGCTCACCATTGCTAGTCACGACACTTCGATTTATATATAAACATACTGAAGATTTAATTCATTCATTTTTCACTTGCGTTCACAATTGATTCATTAATCATTGTTAGTGACTCATTCATTGGCTTATATATATAAAGATAATTCATTAATTAATTAGTTTCTTGCGTTGACAATTAAGTAAAAAAAAAAATAAAAAAAAATTGAATGATAAGATAAATCCAACTATTTGATTTCAGAATTAGATGTATTATAAGCTATGACATCACTTAGATTATTATTTTATATTTTTATTTTAGTTTTTTTGAATGTCGTCATCACTTTTATATATATAAAGATGATTCATTAATTAATTAGTTTCTTGCGTTGACAATTAAGTAGAAAAGAAAAAAAAAAAAAATTTTGAATGATAAGATAAATCCAACTATTTGATTCCAGAATTAGATGTATTATATGCTATGACATCACTTGGATTATTATTTTTTATTTTTATTTTAGTTTTTTGAATGTTGTCATCACTTGATTATATCTCTGATCGTTTATAAGATTTTGCAATTCTTCTCAAGAATCTGTTAGAAATATTGGCTCTTTTTTTTTTTCTTTGAAAGATCAATTTCATATATAAGTAATATACAAGCCCATAAATGGGAGAAAAAAATAAATGGATTAACCCCAGCTATCCCAACATACATCTGCTATTCCATAAGGAGAAAGCCCAGCCCAAAAGAAGCCCACCAATTCTATCAAAGAGAGAACTGTTGCAGTAGAACTACACAATCCGGCCATTACAGTTGAAGAATTCAACTCAGGAGGTTTTGGTACTTCTGAAGTAGGATTGCAATGTACTCAAATTCATCATCATGAAAACTTTATATAAATTGACTGGTTATGAAAATAAGAAGAAAATTTTATTTTTACATGAAAAAGTTTTAGATAAAAATATTTCACGTCAAAACTGAGTCTAAATATAAAAGATTAGTAAATTATAGTGTTTAAATTCCACACTCTATAACGAGCTACACAAGTAATACAGTAACCATTTTCTTTTGTATGGCATAATATGCAGAAGTACTCCCGAGTACTAGCAGATAAATCTTGCAAATTGTACGCATAGTAATGTAAAAAAATAAACATGCCTAAGATTTTTTAATTAGGACCACACAAATCGTCCATGAACATTTGGGATTGAACTCATTCATTAATTAAATGAGTTGAATTCAAATTTGATTTTTTAACCAGCTAAATAAATGAGCTAATTTTAAAAAATATTAAATTAATTTAGCTAGTATAAATTCTTGAGCATAAACTTATTTAAGTTTGATTATTATAAAATTGGACATAAGCATCTTCATTCGACTTTCCCGAACTTATATATATGTGATGAAATTATATTGTATATATTTTATTGTAAACTTCATGGAACCGTGGAGGGAAATCGTACTATAACTAAACTTTGTAAGTAAACTAATTTTAAAAAAATTGTTGGTAACTTCACAAGCCTAAATTAAAACATGAGATAGAAATTAAATTTGAATTATTACAATTTCGAGCTGAGCCACAATCAACTAGTCAAGTCTAAAGAGTTTAAAACTCTGGCTTGGTTTAGCTCAATTTATTTGGAGCCTACTTTTAATTATTTTAAAATTAAAATAAAATAATATTTAACAATGAGCTAAAATAATAATAATAAATTGGTGGGCAAAAAATAATCATATCGAGAACATAATTTCAGACCCAAAAAAAATGGCGAGTGGTCACTTTTATCTTAAAACTTCTTTCCAAACCATTTTGTTCTGTATCTGGTTAGGACGAAATATTCAAATGTTTACTCCTTAAACAAAATTTGTGTCATTGTAGAAACCCTAACAGCCACTGCACCTTCAACCTTCTAAAAACACCGACAAAGAGATTAAAATTTTAGTATAGATTTTATACCATATATGCTATATTATTTTATTTTTACCTATGCTAAAAAAAAATTTCAAAAAATTAGGGGGGCCATGGCCCCCTATTTAGGGTTCTTTTTCTAGAAGGGAGTTTTCCATGAAAGATTATGTGTTAAATTTATTGATCCAAATACATGTTAATGACCTCAAAATTGTGTTTGAAATCTTTAAGTTCCCGGCGGGGTCCTTTCGGGACACTTTTAGGGTTCTTTTATAAATAGGAGATTATAAAATTAAAAAGTCATCTTCCCATCTCTTCATGCACGACCAGAAACTTCCATGGCAGCCCAATGTTTAAATAAAATATTTAAGATTTAAAACAAAGTCCCGATTCAACAAATGTTTCAAGTATAAATAATTGTCGAAGAATTATATGAATGAATTTCTTTTTAATAATTTGAAATCTAAAATGGTGTAAAAGGTTTAATAATTATTCAAATATATATGATCAACTTTTTCCTCTTCTCGCCTCTAATTAAAATAGATTCAAACCGTAAAGACAAGTATTCCAGAGGTGAACTGTCATCCTTAATCAAAGATTATTTAAATATATATTTTTAAAACAATTATATATATATATAAACAGTTGGGCCCTGTTTAGTATCTGTTTTGCTTCATGTGTTTTTGTTACAGGCCTACTACAGTAGTAATTTTTTAGCTCAAAACATGTTTGGATCGGTATGCTTTGTTGCCAATAGTGTCAAAACAGATTCAATTTTTGGGCCAAAAGTTGAAACACCATTTTGGTGTTTTACCGTGTTTTGGGTACTGTTGGCCCAAATAATCACTGTAGCGGAGGAAGTAAAAACACTCGCTGAAACTGAACTTGCAACACGTATATAACCCACGCTTAAAATATTTCAGTCATTTTATAGGGTTTTCTAGAGAGCTCAAGTGGAGGCGATTTTATGGTGACTCTGCTGTGTATGCTTGTTTGGCTGAAATCCACCAAACCGACCACCGATCTTTGCTCTTTTGTTGTCTTGGTCGAAGAACAAGGCAGGAATTGGAGAATTTGAAGCGATTGTGGCTATGGGTCGTCGTATAAGCGATTGTGGCGATTTTGTGGCGACTCTACACTATGTGCTTGTTTGGCTGAAAACAATGACCGATCCTTGCTTTCAGTGGTGTTTTCGCTCAATCTGACCACAGATCTTTACCATTTTGTTGTCTTCGTTGAAGATCAAGGCAGGTTTGAGCAAATTTTGCCTATTTATTACACTATGTTGAACATATTTCATGTTTCTCAGTTCTTTCTTCGACTTTTGTGGTTAATAATCATCAGATATTGTATGATTTTAGGGTTTTCCTAAACATTTAAGTTCATTGATTTGAAACCCTTTTTTTTTTCTTCTGAAAAATGACCACAAATGCAAGTTTTCTGAGGTTCGATTTGGTTCATTTTTCTTCAAAATAATGCTTATTTATTTGTTTATGAATGAATCAAGTTGCTTCCAAATGTCCATTATTCTTCCTGACATGTAATTGAAGTTTCTATCATAAACACATACGTTTATATATATATATATATATATATATATATATATATATATATATATATATATGCACATATTTATTCTTAATGTCAGCAATCATATTTATGTTGGTTTTCAAGTTGTCTGTGATCGATTTAAGTTTGATTGCAAGAAAGGGTTGAAGTTGTGATGATTTAAGTTATATTTTCATCGCATATTTAATTTTTATTTTTGAAAAATTCCTAAAAATAATGAAGTTCAATTGGAGAATTGGAATCCCCAAAAAGACCATATATACATTGTTTTAATTATAGATATAATTTTGTATGCACGACAATATTTCAATTTTGGGAAATTGAGTAATCTCTCTTTTGTTCAGATGGCTTCACTACAAGATAGTTTAAACAGATTCAAGAAGCAGCAAGAGACCAACACTTGAAGGTGATTGTGATTTGTGGCATTGTTCGCTTACTTGCTTCAATATCGAATTGCAGTTTGTTTTATTGCTTCATCTCTTTCACAAGGTATTCATATGTGTTGCTCCATGAATAAGTTTGGAATTGGCAACCTTTGCCGGTTAAATATAGTCCAATGTGTTATAGAAAAGAATGGGTAATTCTTGGAGTTGGAGAATTTCATGTCTCAATTTTTCACCAGTGTGTTTAAAGTGAGAAAGATATGACCTTTAATGTCATGAACCTCCTCTAAGAATTTTGCAGTCAACTCCTTTTACTGGAGTAATTTTTCTTTCGCTTTGTTTTGTTTATAAATTCTTTTATGGCTTGGCACTAACGTCCACCAAATTGAATCACGTGCATCCCTAAGTCTAACTGATGTTTAAACGAGGAATCTAGATGTTGTTGCTGCTCAAAATTATAGAATGGCAAGGTATATCTTTAGGTTAAAATATTCATTCATTTTGGAGAACTGGGAAATTTGTGTACAATTCCTTTACTCCTCAAGCTTAAGTCTTTGAGTTTATCTTGTTGAATAGACAGAGTAGTTATCTGTGAATAGGTTACAGAATTACAATATAAGTTTAATTTTAGGATAGCAGAATAATGGATATTAACTATACATTTCATTTAAAAAGAAATTGGGGATATTTTTGTAAGAACTTGAAAGATTGATCTCTCTCTCTCTCTCTCTCTCTCTCTCTCTCTCTCTATATATATATATATATATATATATATATATATATATATCAGTAAGATTGATTGAATGGAGTGCATGGTTAATGCAATACAGAACCATCAAGGGTCTCACAAACGTAGCAGGAAAGACTTTATCCACTGGGATATGTGATATGTATCCTGAATTTGCTTCAGTAGATTCATTTCTTGTTGATTTTGTGTACTTAAGTAAAACAATGTTGTACTTGTTGTAGCATGGCCAATATATATATTTTTTCCCCTGAATGTTGTTGATTTTATTAGCACATATAAACCAATGAAGTACTGAGAGAAAAGTGATTAAGAGAAAAGACCAATAAGAAAACTAGTCAACGGTATACCCCAGACTAGAAGAAACAAACTGAATTAGAAGAAGCAGAGCTAAAACAGCAAATTCAAGTCAGCTAATGGCCAGTGTATTTTATATCAACTACTCTAGGCGACTATTTGTAGTTCATTCATTTCATAATTCCTGCCCACCTCTCATTTACTTTGATCTCAACATTGAGTCTCTGTCAACAAACCAGTGGATAAGAACATGATTCAACATGGATATACACACACACACACACACACACACACACACATACATACTTTGGCAAGTTGAACTAGTGTGCCTGTCTATTTTTTCTTATAAGTGGTGAATCCAACTTTTGCTGATGTACTCTAAAACCTTCTGTGAGGGATTAAACATCTCCTAATTTATTTATTTCTCTGGCTACAGACAAGGGAAGCCTTCACACCAGAGCAATCAAAGGATCCTGCCCTTCCTAGCTTCTTCTGAGAAGTTAGAAAAAGAGATGGCTGATGATGTTGTTGATTTTCTTTTGGATAAATATGTGGGCATGAGACCAACACTTGAAGGTGATGTGTGTTGTTATGAAGATGATGTGTCCTATTATTGAAGCTTGTTTCATGGAAGTGAAATTTGTGTTTTTTGAAGTATGTCTCCTGTAAGATAGTTTTTCTAATACATTCCTAACAGTTAAGAAAAACATAAGGAAACATCTTTTTATTTGTTAAGCATCTTTTTCTTCGTTTTTGAATCATATTGTTGAAATTTGTAAACAATGAAGAGAATTGTGTTTGAACTTTGAATTATATATCCCGTGCAATAAACTTTGACCTTTTGATGCTTTAAAAGGTGAGGGAGACACAAGGAAGCCTCTTTTGCCTTGGTCCCATGTCACCTACTACTGTCTAATTTAATCCACCACTTAATTTGTTCTTAATTTCTTTATCATTTTTCCTAATATAGAAGAATGATTATGATTTGAGAAGCTTCCTTGCAAGCTTCCATTCTAGCAGGAACAAACCTATGGACAATCATCACCAAAGGAACAAACTATACCAGAAAATTTTAAATAACTTGAAGTATAGTTTCAGATCAAGATAATATGCAAAATGGTTGAAATTAGTAATTCAATTACTAGAACTAACATTCTACATTTAAGCTGAAGCACTTGCTTCTGTAATTACACTTTGGTTATATATATATATATATATATATATATATATATATATATATATATATATGTTTCTGTGTTCAAAGTTCAATATATCTATTAAAAATATGATGACTATTTATATAGAAATAAATTTAAAATTTATAAAAATAAATTAAAAACAAGATAACCAAACATATTTTTTTGTTAATGTTTTATTTTTTATTTTTTATTTTTTTATTTTTTTTTTGACAACAGTTGGAGTTACCAAACATGTTTTGTTTTCAAAATTCTTGAAACGCATAGCTTACCAAACATGTTTTGCATATTTCTATTTTTGACATTTCTACAGCAAAACATCGTTCCCAAACGTGCTTTTGGTTTTTGCCAAAACACTCCTATAGCAAAAACACTGTTTCTGTTTTAGCCAAAAACAAAACGCCTAAAGCAAAACGCATGCCAAACGGACCCTTGATGTGTTGTAATGATGTTTCCATTAATACCATATTTCTTGAATATATATATTTTCTAATAAATGCATAAAGTCGCTTATTAAAGTGTGATTGTTTGTACAACTTTTACAAGCTTGGATGGACGAGTACTACGAGACAGTCGAGTTCAAAAGAGCAATTAAAATCACATTGATGTATTTAAATCCTTTAGAAAGTCCACATACTTAAAAATCTTCTTTCAAATAATAAAGATTAAGAATTTACTCACGGTTTCATTTTGAAACCTAATATTTAAGGTGATGATTTTTTATATTTTCTTATTAAATTAATAGTGATTAAATTATTAATTTATTAATAGTGAATTCACAATAATATGTGATGGCCTATCTTTTATAAATTCATTACAAAAGGTTAAATTTGTAATGTAAAAAAAAAAAAAAAAAAAAACAACAACAACAACGACAACAACAACAGTACATTGAAATATTTATTTTAGATAGCTAAGAATGAGAATGTGACAATTTTTGTTAGCTGAATGGAATATTATTTACGTTAATTGAAAATTAAAAAATTGAATAAAAATATGTTTAGTTTTAACATAAAATGTCTATTTTCAAAATAATAAAAAAATAGAAACATGTACTACTCCTTGTTTTTGTTTGTCAGCATTGCAATGACCGACCATAGCATCATCATGCTTTTACAGCTTCTCAACTAATTAGTCAACAATGAACTCTTAGCTTACCAAAACGTCTCACATCCATCTCTTTCGTCTCCAATCTCCAACTCCATCCCCGTCCCCCCCTTTCTCTCTCTACACTTTCTCTCTCTTCATGGGCAGCACAGACGAGCCCAACAAACACTCCAATCTCGAAAACCCATCTTCCTCACCCACCACCCAACCCCTCCTCTCCAAACCCCCTTACTCTTTTCCTTCACCCATCGACGAACCACCGTCCAACAACGACCCCACCACCTCCGAACCAGACCCTAACCACTATCTCCAGATCTCCTACAATTACGGCCGTCGACCCATCAAAGACCTATCCTTTCTCATCGTCTTCGCCCTCTTCGTCCTCTCCACTTTCGCCTTCGGCATCTTCGCCTCCGTCAATCGAAACCCTAATTCCTCCAACATCTCCTCCTTCGTCTACGACTCTAACTCCTCTTCGTGCGTCGATCAATCATCGTCCACCCTTTCCTCAATCGATACCACTCTTTCTTTCTACTACTACTCTTCCTCTTCTTCGGGTGTGTTGAAGTATTTGATATGGACACTTGTAATTACTTTGATTCTGAGCGTACCCTTTGCGCTCTGTGTCCTTTTGTTACTGAAGCATTACACCAAACAGATTGTCTACATTTCGCTTCCTTTCTTCGTTATAGTACCAATCTTCATAAATGTATATTGGTTCGTGGCGTGTACAGTTAGCTCAACTTGTAGTGATGCGTTTCCGTTGGCTTACCGGATTTTGGTGTTCGTCTTTTTGTTTCTGATTGTGGGTGTGATTGTATGGATTTTCGTGGTGAACTGGCATCGAATTGAGCTGACTGTGAGCATAATTGGGGTTGCATCCAATGCATTGTTGAGAAATTTGAGGCTTTTCGGCGTGCTTCCTGCTTTGACTTTGAGTTTGTTCGTTTATTACGCACCAATTGTTGTGTTCTTGGTGTTGGCGAGGCAAAATGGGGAGATTGTGGTGCGAGAAGAGAGTGAAGAATATTATTGTGCTTGGAAGCAAGATAGTTGGGTGCCTGCTTACTATGCTCTGGCAATTCTTACAATGTTGTGGTCCGCCGCCGCGATGGTTGAGGCACAGGCGTATGTGATTAGTGGGACTATTGCACAATGGTACTTCTCAAAAGATGATTTGAAGCCAAGGAAGAGTATAAGAAGTTCTTTGAGGTGATTTTCTTGCATTTTTCTCTTGATAAAATATTTCACTTTTTTTTCTTTTTCTTTTTTTCTTTTTTTTTTCAGTTGATCAAATTTGTGCATAAAAAGTGTAAATGGTATTTTGAATGAATTGTGGCATCAGCGTTTCATAGGCTGAATTAGAACAATCGAGAAATACTTTGAAATTTAACAATTTATTTTGTAACCCATACAAAATAAGATTAAGTTTAATCTGGAGTAAAATTGGAAAAATAGTGAGCAGTCTTGGACTTGGCATTAGCATACCTAGGATTCTTAATTATAGTGGCCTCATATACGAAGAGGAGGGTATCAGAAGACTTTGTCCCCAGAAACTAGACGGGACGCAATGAAGTACAAAATTGCTTCAGTTGTGTGCCATAATTCATACTTCTCAAACTAACAAACATCTCGGTGCCTAAATGCTTTGGTATATGGAAAAGGTAGCTAATCAAGATATTGTAAGTCAATTAGCTGAGGCGAGGATGCTGGCATGGATGAGTGTGAGGATAAGATACATAGTTGTTAAAATGAATACATTCACGGAAGTTCTCGGCTACACCTATTGGGAGATGATTTTTTAGCTGGCTTAGATGGTTTGATTGACAAAGATAGAAGAGTTATCATTCCAATTGGAATTCTAAAGGACTAGAAACGGAGATACTCTTTGGGTCATAGTTGTTAAAATCCCTATTCTGGATCTTAGAATCTTACGATTCTATGATCCCATATTGTCAAAATGATCCCGATCCCATCCAAAATTTTTGGAAAAAAGAATCTTAGTAGGATAAGTAGGATCGTAGAATCGCATAGGATCTTAGGATCCTACCGATTCTACTAAATCGTGCTATTTTGTTCTTCTTCCAGATTTATTTGGGTCTACAATTAATTTTGGCCTAATAAATTTAATCATTTTGAATATAAAGTCCAACTCTTTAGCCTAATTACATTAAAAAACAAAAAAGCAAAGACACAAACTTCAAATGTAGAGACGATCAAAACTGAATTTCAAAGGTATCATTCAAATTTTAAAAAAAATCCTCTATTTTGTTTTATTCTTCTTAATTTCTCTTTTCTTCTTTCTTTTTCAATTCACGGAACAGAAAGAATTCTATTCTTCCACCTATTCTTTGTCAATTCTGAAATAAAAATAAAAAAAGACTTCATTTTTTTTTCCGTTGTCCTTTCTATCTTTGTTTTGTTCCTTTTTTAAACCAAAAAGTAAACTTTTCAACTAAATTGTTTAGGCAACTAAATTTTACTTTTCTCTCTCTACTAGGCTTTACTTTAATTTCTTCTGAGAGATTTTGCTTGATTGTTAGGCTGGTTTTTTGTTGAAATCAATAAATTGATTTAGGAAAAAAAAAAATCAGTAAACTGATTTTAAGTGTTTGTCATGTGTCTTAGTATCTTTTCGTGTTAATTAATTTTGCTAAAGTGTCTGAATTGGTTATTTAGTCTTATTCTACTTATATCGAAAATATTTGATTTAGAAAGTTAGTTTAAGTTACTTCTCTAATAGTTTTATAGAGTCTTACGATTCTCTCTCCGATTCTAGAATTCCTCTCCTATGGACCCCTCATCAATCCTACGTAGAATCCCGATTCTAACAACCTTACTTTGGATTGAGGTTTTGATGGGGTTAAAAACAGTGTCTCTGTTATTAAGCAAAGGTATGATCTTCCATGGAGTGGATTAGGAGAAAAATTAAATATAGAAATGAAAGAAAGAGGAAGAAAGAAAGATGGTACAAATTACTCCAAATGGCTGGGACAAATGTTTATTTATTTAAAGAAGACTTAGTCCTTTGGGGGGGAGGGGAAGATTTTGATACTTTTCTATGGTTATATGCTTGTGGTCAGGAGCCAATGGATGGTGTTGAATTACGTATGGCATGATAGCTGTTGCGTTCAGGTGTTGATAGTCATTTGTAGAGTTTTTTTTATTAATTAATTATTATTATTCATCTGCTTCCAGTCTAGGAGCTAGAGGTGAGCATATTGCTTGAAGGGGAAAAGCTTTGGCTCATAATTTGAATGGAGCAACATGGTGTTTAGGCTGGTTGGAATTCGGCGTGATACTCATTTTTTGTTACTGTAGCTACAAGATTATGGTTATGGACTATTAATGGCTTAATGCAACTTTAGGTAAGTACAAGTAAGTCTAGAAAAGGATGGTGGTAAGTTAAGCAAATAACCTATTACTGAAAAAGTCACACATTACTTCATTACTTCACAATATCTTTTTAGTTTTTATATCCTAAATATATATCTTATAAAATTGTTAGCTTATCTTTTGATGCATGATAAAATATAATATGATTTCACGAATCCCGAAATATGATATACCTATTCATCACAGGAATCCTATTTTGCGACTATAATCAAAGCTTACTTTCGTATTTTTATTATGGGAAATGATTCTTGTACCGAATAGTTGCAGTGACCTACTCTTTTAATTAGCCAATTATGCAACAAATAAGGAAGTGGAGCCCTCCACTTAGTTGTATTTGGTATAAATAGCCAATTAAAAATTATTCGGTTAGGCAATTCACTGCATGTTCGGTGTAAGTATCACTACTCTTTTTTTATGAGTTCCACCTCATAGTTTGAAACACTATGAGGCTCCAGCAAATGCAGCAACTAGCAACTAAAAGGAAATCACATAAAAATACTTTCAGGTCTTTTTTAGCTCCTGCATCTTTGTTACTAACCTCATATGCAAGTTGTAGCCATATTCAAAGAGTTAGTACCAATTCGGAGGAAATCTAATTTATTATGCAAGCTAGAGGATGATATGTCTTACCCAAGTCTCTCTATGTGATACTCCCCAATTTCCGAATGCGGGTTGATCAAGTCCTCGCCCAAAAACCCGGGATATCAGGACAATTAATATTTTAAAACAAACACAGAATACAAGAGGAAATATAAATAAATAATATATTATCTGAAAGGAAAACTAAATGATAATTAATAAATCTCTGATACCAAAATCTCTGATTAAATCCAATAAAGGATAGCTCCATTATTATCTCAAATCCCCAAAGTACATCTCGGGAATCCAAACAAGGACCCTTAAATAAAACCGTAACTGAAAACGACATATAACTGTGTAAGTCTGAGAAACAAATAGAACTACGATAGTGTCCTACATAGATCCGGAAGAGTGATAAATAGTGGTCTCTGATCTGTATGAACAACTCTAAGTCTGGAACTGACGTGAACCTAAAAAATAAAGTGTGGGTCAGACCCACGAGCAAGTTCTTTCTACTACAACCCAACTGGAGAACCGATAAACGATACACCCCTAGACAACTCATGCAATATCTATATTGTCGATACATATATACATACACCAAGACTCTTAGAACTATAGGGCAGTCTCAACCGGATAATGGGTATCTCATGAAAAATCGCACACGAGGTGGTCAAGAGTCCCCTTCTACTAGGGCACACACATCTCCTATATCTAGTTACCTATCTAAACTGGTAATATACGCCTCAGTCCTAATCAGTGATCCCGAGATCTCAAGCTCGTATCATGGCTCACATATACACATATATAGAATACATCATCAATAAAGTCATATCAAATAATGGCACAATTGTAGCATGTATAGACTTATTAGTCAGCCCACCACTTATCAAATAACAAAAACTTATCTACTAATGACATACAATGTCAAGGAGCCTAGCTTAATAGCTATCTCAATGATTCATTCATCTACGAACAACAACCTCAATAATAACCATATCTAACAATGGCATAATAGTCATAGATCCTATATATAAGATCACAAATACAGAATTGAGCTTGAATAAAATCATACTATCATCTATCGCAATTGCTATAACAAATAAAGTAATAATAAACCATGTAAATAAAGTATAAGTCCTTAAGGTCCATTACATCTAGCAAAGGTAAACCATAAAGTACAGCCATACCCCATTCATAAAGATCATAATTACAGCAACTAAGTTGATTAGAATCATTCATCGCGCTAAAACATTAAGTTACAAAATTTAAATGTTTCAAAGATTCAATTTACAATTTAATAACTAATCAAATCCCAAATCATAAAAGCATAAATAGGTTCTATGTAATTTAAATCATATAACACTGTTCCCAGGGTTCTAGTACAAGTTCGGGACCCTAATAAATCATTTCAGAGCTATTCGGAACACTTTTGGGGCAAATCAGGTGTACAGTGCTCAAACACACCTTCACTATGCAGTCTGTGCTCGAGCGCTATCCAACAGTGCTCGAGCACTGTTTCTGGAATTCGACAGTGCTCGAGCATTATAAACAGTGCTCGAGCACCGGTTCGCAGAACCATCTCGGAAAGTCCGTTTTAAGGCCAAAACTCCATTGTTACGGGTCCTAAATCATGCATGTATGTCCCAATTGATAACCAATGTTAATATGAAGCATTTATACAGATTAGAGCAATCTAAATTTAAGTTTTCATGCACCAATTCACAAGACCCAATTCCATAACCATAAACACATATGAACACATAAACAAGTTTATTTTGATTCAATTTAAGCATAGAAACTTATTTAATTCATCTATTTAAATTTTCTAAAGTTAATCTAATGATGTAGATAATAAAGATTCAAAGGGGAAGAGTAGAACATAGAACTTGCTTTGTGATTTTCGGATTGAAAACCAAACTCCAAGTTCTCTACAATAGATCCGGTCTTCTTCTCAACTCCGGCAACCCTTATCACTTTCGTTGTCCTTCTCTGGTCACCTTCTTCTTCCTCTTCTCTCTCTCTCTCTCTCTCTCTCTCTCTCTCGATCTCTGCCCCTCTTTGTAACTCACGTATATATAAAAACCCTATTCTTCTGACTAACATATATATATATACTAACTCACAAATCCTAACCTAAGTCTAACAAAAATAAAACTAAAACTAAAAATAATAATAGTAATAATACTGATAATAATAATAGTAAACTAATTAATTAAACAAGCAAATTGCACATAAACAAATAATGAAAAGTAATGCACATTAAATAATTTAAAACAACCTAATTAACCAAAATAATCAAATAGCCACTTTATCATGTGATAAGAACAATTAGCCAAATAAAATAATTAAAATGCAATTAAAATAATAAATTAAATGCTCTAAAAATTAGGGATATTACACTCTCAGTCTCATGATGATGGTGACTACAAATATCTTTAGTACAATATATCTTATTTTATGGGACAATTAAAAATCATGGTATAATTTTAGTTAACATGTTTAGAATGAGGAATCATGTTGCAGAACTAGTAATTTGAATTGGCTGAGATATGTTAAAAATGTATCAGGGGATACACAAAGATATATGACATAAAAAAAATAATAAATAAAAACTTAAAATCATGAAAATGCAAAAATAATAAAAACAAAAATAGATTCACAAAATGAAGAAACTACACCATTCTAAACATACAATGTCATCTAAAACTGCCAATCTTGTCTACTATAATATCACATAATAGTCGGACTTTGTAGTACAATCCTAAATGCATGTATGATGCAAAGTGAGATCTTCTTGTGAGGTAGGCAATATATATATATATATATATATATATATATATATATATATATATTAATATTACATTGGCAATAAACTCACACACTTACTTTTTTCCCTGTGGGGACTTGAACCCTCGACCTTTTACTTTGGAAGGTGAGGAAGTACTACTAGGGAACAACATTGGTGGTAGATAGGCAAGATTTAGCCATGTATATTACTGTTGTTTCATTGTACTCGCTTATCAATTAATTTTCGTTTTCGGCTGAGCAAATCCAAATGGGCTTATCAACGGCCAGTGGCGTAGCGGTATTAACCTCTTACTTCCCAAAGGGAGGTCAGGAGTTCAAGTCTCATAAGAGAACAAGTGTGTGCGAGTGCCAATTGGGAAAAAAAAAAATTCCAAATGGGCTTTACTTTGTTACCACGCCCAAATTTCTGTTTCGTTGTATTCCTAATATTTTGTGACTGACCTATAAGCACATAGTTGTTGATCTTTCAAACAAATTGTTTTTCATTGATGGTGCTAAAATTCATTTTGAGGGTTGGCAGTGACAAGTCCTCAAAAGCGCATAGGGCCAAGCTGGCTTCCAAGCTGAAATTGGCTTTTGAATGAACTAGGTCTCTTATTTTTGGACTAATATGGACAAAAAAAGGGCCCAAAATTTGACCCCAAACCTGGTTGATAATCATTAGACTTTGGCATTTGGCAATGGAAATCCCCACAAAAACTATGCAATATTGGGTTATTTTACAACCTTCTAAAACACTAGTTGAGGCCCCATTTCTGGAACTCGGTATGGAGCCTGCCCTCACCATCTCTTTGGTACTTAATTTAGCAAGAAATATATTTCCATGCTTCCAGCTAAAAGTTCGGAATATCAGCACTTATAGGGATTCATGCATCAAATATTAGTTCATTAATTGCTGCATTTTATAGAGTTCCAATGCAAATCTTGAGTTTTATGCGGCCATCAAAACTTATTTGCCCACTCATGATCCTTTCTTAAACACCTGCAGAAATGCCTTCGGTCCCTCTTCTGGCACAGTATGTTTGTCTGGATTACTTATTTGTGTTGTTCGTGTGGTGCGCGCTGTGGTCGATATTGCGCAAGAAGAGGCTCCTGGGATGTTGAACCTCATACTCCGATGCTGCGTTAACACGCTGCTGACAGCTATTGACTTTCTTAATAAATTCACCATTAACTTTGCAGCCATAACTGGTGAAGCTTATTGCACTTCTGCACGGATGACGTATGAGCTTCTAAAGCGTAATCTTCTTTCAGCAGTTTTCGTAGAGATTGTCTCCACTCGTATATTGGCTGGAATATGTTTGGTTCTCTCAGCTATTTATGCAATCGTGGTGAGTAGTGCTTCTCTTCATCTCCAATCTCAAAATATCATCAATTCAAGTGTTGTCTTGGTGCACTCTTTAAGCAGTTTAACACATCGAATGATTGATTTTTTAGTTAAAATTATAATTGCTATACAGTATACAGTCAATCGATTCACAAAATTTCCTATAATAATATATTATTAGCTGTTGGACTTTCTTAAGATATTGGTCTTTTGATCTTCAGGTCTATGCCATAGTAAACGCTGCCAGCAATCTTGGGGTGGACTCTTACTTTGTGGCAGTTATGGCATGGGTGCTTCTGACTGTGGTGCTGGGTTTTTTTGTGCATGTGCTGGACAATGTGATTGACACGGTATACGTGTGCTATGCAATAGACAAGGATAAGGGAGAGGTATATAAACAGGAGGTTCATGAGGTTTATGTTCACCTCCCCATCAGTAGGAACCATAGATCGTCTCTTGATACCAGAACTCCGCTTGTATAAATTGTGTCCCCTCGTATTTCATTTTTGTGTTGTAATCTGCCTTCCATTTGCTCTCCTTTTGGAGGTATAACTCCCATTCGTTGAGTTGTGCATATCCATAAATGTTGCATTGTACAATTGAGGTTTGTTTATTGAAGTATTGAATTTTGGAACAAAGTTTGCCATGTTAGTTGCGTTGTTTAGCTCTCTTGCAACACAAACTCTGTTGTTCAAAAGGTTGCAATACGAAAACCAAGCCCTTGTCTATATAACATCCTTTCAATCAGAGTTAAATGAGAAGATCCGTCATGTATGTTTGGGAGTACTGATTTGGAGTCTTGGAATTGGAAGTTGGACTCCAATTTCAATGTGCTGATTTGGTAAGTATATTTGTCAATCAAGCTGGGAAGATGTGCGTTTGCCATTCACCAATGGCTACAAACCACAGAAGTTTCAAAATACTTTAGGGGAGGATGAAGACTCACCACCAAATCGAGTACTTCCATCAGAAAGAAGTCGAATACTAAATAGAGGCCAACCGTCCATAGGATCATAACCACACCTTGGCTTCACCATCTTGACTTGTGAGGATTAGAGAGACAGATATACTCTGAGGCTGGACAAAGAAGCTAGACAAGTCATGAACTGATGGACACTACTACTAGGTGTGGCTCTGATTGAGTTTTTTCAATTTTTATAATAGGGATGGGCCACCCTTGCAAGGGACATGTCTCCCCATACGCCATATAACTTGCATGTGATGTGGCTAAATTTTAGTGTTTGTAAACGCTCTACTTGGGCTTGATTCTCTGACTCATTATCTAACTACTCATCTTTATCTATATTAGACATTGGGATATCATTCCTTCAGACAATACTATGGAAAAACTCAAGCTTGGGATTTGAAATGTTGAAGATTTTGAAGTTATATGCACCAAGAAATTATTACTTATTCATCTTTTTAACCATCTTACATAGTTCTGTGTAGTCTTCCCATATGAGGTGACGAATTCTCAAGTGTACTTTGCTTTTACGCAAAGAGTTTTGAGGAACTCAGAGACAAAGTGAGAGATGGGGGATGTGGGTGTGCGATCCGAGATGGGACCACCATAATCCCTACATACATATATCAATTTTTTTGGTTTCTACACTTTTATTCTTCAATGGAGATAGACATGTTTGACGTGGAACATGTATGTATGTACTTTGTATTCTTCCATTGACAAGGACATATTCGACAGCGAATATGTATGTGTGTACGTCTACAAGTTCGACTTAATTTGTATGTACATCTATAATTTTCTTTGTGTTTTGTTAACCCAGGTAAAATTTTGTCACGATCAATATAGTTCATCCAAAATTGTTGATGTAGGCAATCTCACTTTCCATATCATCCTAAAGTGATTAATTGCTTTGTATAGTGACAAATGTTGGGATTATCGACTGTAATTTGTACCAAATCAACATGCATCGATTGAAGATACAAAAATCCCACTTTAAAACCACAAGGGTAAAAGAGTATGTGGTCAAAATGGCAACATGGTAGATGAAAAAAGGTTAAGAGCTGGAGAAGTTATGGTGATATTTAAAGTGGTAGAAGGGTACAAACAAAAATTATTGTGTGGGTGGCACTAAATATTTAGAAGGCGACTTTGTTTTATTCAATTAGTTAGTTGAGTTGAGCTAATAAGATAAGATAATCAGCAAAGCTAAATAGATGCTACAAAACATTATTAATTATAATAATAAACAGATTTTTATTAAAACAATGGGATAAATTCTTATACTTAAGAATTAGGTGGCACAATTATAGTATCATCATTTGTGGGTACCCCTCAATATTTAACAACATTAACGTGGTTGGAAGTTGGAACCCATCTCTCATTTGTTGGATGAGTACAACTAATTTAAGATTTTATCTTATATTTTTAGAATAGTGATACTTATCAATTTGTTACAGTAAATTATTTAATCGGAAGTCACGAATTTATTACAGTGAGTTACATAATTGAAAGTTTTCTTTTATTATTAATTATTTATGTACAATACAAGTAAATGGAAGGATCAGACTTATATTTATTAAAATAAGTAGATTTGATAATTCACCGTCATGTAAAAATTATCTTTTGAGACCTGCTAATTTGAGACATAAAATTATTATCGTGGCATTAGAATAAAATAAAATTAATAACTTTAAATTTGTTTTTTCATGATTAACATTGTTAAACTTGCCCATCAATTTGATCGGACATAACAATCCTACTTATCTCCACATATGAGCGAAGGTCGGCAACAATTACCAAGACGATAGATCTCCAAGGTAGAGGGTATTTTGGTCTTTGTAAGTCAAACATATATAGTAGCCCACAGATCGAATGTGGACAAGCTTGTAATTTGGTAGGAAAGGAATGGCATTTCAAATGACCTCATCTATATATAACAACAATAAATTCGCAGTTCAGACCATCCTCTCCTCCTCTCTCCTGCAACAACCGTATCAGTCAACAACAACACAAGTCAACAACAATGGCGATGGCTTTCAAAATGGTACAATCGAATCCGATCCAAACTTCTGCTTATTTCTTTTTCACTATCAATCATTTTAATCAATTGGGTTTATTTGATATATATGTGTGTGTGTATATATATATGTATGTATCTTAATTATGATACATGATGAGTTAATTATATGATATATAGGCGACGACGGGGATGTGGGTAACAGATGAATGCAAGAATTCATTCATGGAGATGAAATGGAAGAAGGTGCACAGGTACATCGTTTTCAAGATCGATGAGAGATCCAGGTTGGTCACCGTGGATAAGGTGGGTGGTCCCGCCGAGGGTTACGACGATCTGACGGCGGCTCTTCCGGTAGATGATTGCCGCTACGCCGTCTTCGATTTCGACTTTGTCACCGTGGATAATTGCCGGAAGAGCAAGATCTTCTTCATTGCATGGTTTGTTCCGTCACTTCCCACCCTTTATGTCTTTTTTCCGATTCCCATTCTAAATCAGTATCATTTATCTTCCATTCCCTTTAGTTCATCTTCTTTGACCATTTTGACCCTTCTACATATTTTCGTATAAAAGTACTCGCTTTAGTGTTTTTTGTTGAAAAAAAAAAAAATCGAAATGACTTTTAAAGTCGCTTGAAAGGTAGGAAGATCAAAACCAAGACGTCTGTTTTCGGCCTTATGTATGTGGGACCTACTCATGCGCCAAAAACATACTCATAGCCCATTAGGTTGTTTGGTTTAATTGATGTTAAGGCCTAATTATCAAAAATGAAACCATTAATAAATTTGAATAGTTGTATTAAAATAGTCTTAATTCCTCTTTATTCATTGAGCAAATGCATTATCTCTAGAAACTTATTTGTTAAATAAGTCACACTTGAGTAACCGTTCGCATGTTTATTTAACTTGTAAACATTTTCTTAAATACAATAAAAGTTTTTTTTATTTAATAATTTTGAAAATAGTAATTAGAAAGGGATATAAATTGGATAAAAATACCAGTGATAAGTCAATGAGGTACAAGAGTGGATTGTATTTCACTTTTATTGTATTTGAAGGTCCACAATCCTTGCACATGTAATCTACTTTTACTCCATTTGAAGGACCACAATCCTTGCACATGAAAGTTGTGATGGTGGTAAGTTTAATAGTGTGATTGATTGAATTTGAATAGTCTCAAATTTGGCTCAAGGTTTATTTGTAGAGTTACATACTAATATATTATGGTATATAAAAAAATATATATATACAGGTCACCAGCGGCATCAAGAATCAGAGCAAAAATCCTATACGCAACCTCAAAAGATGGGTTGAGGAGAGTGCTTGATGGCATCAGCTACGAATTGCAGGCAACCGACCCAACCGAGATGGGATTTGATGTGATTAAAGACACTGCCAAATAGATAGATTGATCTTGCGTTTACCAAAACCCTAATCTGTCTTTTGTTATCTTCAAATCTTACTTTATCTAATATCTCCAAGTAGCCATGCTGGTGTTTACTTCTTGTTTCTTTTACCTTTTCTTTTTTTTTTTTTTTTTTTAATTTTGGTACTAATCCAATCCATGTAAGTTAAAACCTCTGATTGGTAATAATTATTGTGGGCACTCTCGTAATTTAACGCAAATTAAAGCACCTTTATGTTTGTAACTTTATTTTTGGGACCCTTTATGGATGGATCTCTTTTCTTTCAAAATAAAGGGAAAGAAAAAAAGGAACTTTTACACATTCCATTACAATTTTATTATTAAAAAAAGAAGAAAAAAAAAAAAAAGGTTTGTTTAGTGTAATAGTGAAAATTACAATAGTCTGTTTAGTGTAATAGTGAAAATTACAATAGTCATGACAACCACTTTGTACAAATTAATACTATATCCAAATCAAATGTTATCTCTTAGTATAGTAGATGTCTAATCATAATTAAGTTAGGTCTGAAATTAATTCATTAGGTGAGCTGGATATAAGAGTAATAGGATAATTACAATGAATATGTCTTAATCAATAATCAGCGGGATATTTGATTAAACTGAACCAGAGATTAATGTTGACTAAATGTACCTTTCGTTTTTTGTTCTTTTTCTTTTCCACATTTTCCTCCCTTTACCTCCTTTTTGCTTTGGACGAACAAATTAAAAATTAGCTCAAACCTACTAACATGAATTTCAAACCATTCTTTTCATAATCTCTTTCTCTCACTCACTATCTCGTCCTGATTCACCGTATCGCTCGATACGCGATCTTTTTTTAAGTGTGATCGGTATTAACCAGTTTATACTGACTTTGTCCGAGTCTGTTGATCGTCACCGATACCGCAACTGTACCGATAGTGCGAACCATTTATCTCGCACACAATTCCCTATATTATGAGTCACATTTCTCCCAAAAAAAAAAGTATTTATTTTGAGACCTATGGGGTAATAATTTTGCTGTTCACTTCTCTTTTTCTAAACTACTATGCAAACCAAAAAATAATAAATAAATGATTATGTACAGTTAACCTCAAATTTATTCAATTATAACATACAAATAACCTGTATGTATTCAATAATACTCGTGCGACAAGCCACATTCACATATAATATTAGAATTCAAGATTAAATTATAATAAATGATTAAGGTTAAAAATATAACATGAAGTATAACCATCAAAGACGGAGCCAGCTTAAACCGAGCGGCCTCAAGACTTGAGTCATTTTCAATCAATTAAATTATGACTCCATCCATGAACATAACGAGATGGAATTAGTATTAGTATATCTGAAATAGCATCGTGAAATTATTGCATGGGTGCGGAATTATTGATCCCACTCATCACTAGTCGACATCTAACTAAAAACTTGAATAAAGCTTAATTTGTCGATGCCAACTAGCAAAACCTTATATGATTAGGATTTGGGCCAAATAGATGCGATCCATAATTTGCGATAAAATTGACCATTGCTTTCTCATCAAAGATGGGCTTTTCTTGTTGTCACCTTGCACATCATTTCCAAACGTCTGACTGTTGTGCCACTATATGTGTTACTCTTATTAGTTTGTACTTGTAATTATGCCCCATTTGTTGTGATTTATCAAAAAAAAAAAAAGGTAACTTTTTATATACCTAACTTTCATATCAAAAACCCATTTCAATTGTGTTAAGGTAAAAGCACATAGCCATAATTACTATTCATGCTTAAACGTTTTACCCTCATAATGCCTCTGTTACAACTACCACCCTCGATTATATATATATATATATTTTTAATTAGCATTAGGAATTCCCCTAGGCAGGCCCCTTCGGGACCCACCCTAGGCTACAAACCTGGGATGTAGAGCCTCGCCCCAAGGATACACTGGGGTGAGTCGGAGGACATGAATGGCTTGGGAGGAGTTGAACACTGGCCTAGTGTGTGCAAGTGCCAAGCTCCTATCATCACAGCCAAGCCCCCGGGGCTACCACCCTCGATCATAATGCCTCATCAAACTCAAAATTGCTATTAGTTACTGAGATTCGTATTAGATGCATGCATGTGCCACAGTTACATATATATGTAGTATATAATAACACCATTAGTACATATCACGGCCATGAAACCCGTAGGGCATCAAGCATTAAAGATGTTGCATTCATACATTTCATGTGCCACTAGTTATATGCATATGATTATTGCAATTATGTAAGAGACAATGACGAGGGCACTGAATACTGCTGAATAGCGACCCATACAATTAATAGCAGACAATTATTGGAAGGGCTTAATCTGGGCACCCAACATTGATCATACCGGACTCGAACTCCTCTCCTTCTCTTTGATGGTACAGAAATTATGCAATTGCCTTAATGACCCATTGGTCTAAAGAAAGAAGGTGTCAAATTGAATTTAGAAGTACCCAGAAAAGCATGTGAGGGGAGATTACATGTGCCTGGTTATGAAATGCTCTAAGAGCCCAATAATCAATACCATTATAGTTGCAAAAAAAAAAAAAAAAAAAAACATGCACAATGAAATCATAGTGCATAATCATACTAACTTAATTTGCACTTTCACCACATATAGGAGCTGTGCTCGTAATCTCTTGTCATGGGCTTTGTCCAAACCTGAGTCCGAAACGAAAGGGCTGGGCATGTCCATTACTATTGCATACTATCCGGATATGGGCCAGAGGCCCAGAGTTACCCTCCAACTAATTTTACTTCTCCAAATTCGACGTCAAAGTTAGCCCGTTGAAGGGTTTTTTTTTTTTTTTTTTTCTTTTTTGGAACTCGGAACTCCCCTGGGCAGAGCCCTTTTGGACCCACCCCAAGTTACAAACCGAGGGTGCTGCAACCGGCCCCACAACAACAGCACCGTTAAATCAGGGGATATAATGGAGCATTGGGGAGTCGAACTCTGGACATATTAGAACCAGGCCCTCTCCTTACCGCTGGACCAAACCCCTGGGAGCTAGCCCATTGAAGGTTGAAATGACCATTTCCGGTGCGAGGCGATACCTTTGTGCTATGCTTGGCTTGAGTTGTGTCAAGACTTTTTGTTGTTTATGGCCTTGAGGAAAAAACAAAGGCCAATTGATGGGTGCTTTCAATGTGAACATGTGAAGAAGACTTGAAAGGTCTCAATAAATCAGTACTAGACTTGACCTTAGTTGATTAGTAAATACATTTATTTCGATAAGTCTATTTAATATATATATATATATATATATATATATATATATATATATATGGCAAACTAGAAGAAGAGAGACTCAAACATAAGCGCGTTCAGAGAGCTAGACTTCTACTAATTGGGCCAATAGATTATGCCCGTATCAATTCAATAACTTAGAACGAATGAATAAAATTAAAATAGCTAGTGGGAAAACGAATTCCACTGGCTCAACCTTGTTCTAGAAATGCATTTACTTCTTATCTCCCATGGTTTACTCACTTGCCCATGACAACAATTGATTCATATGACAACAATTAATCAATTAATTTCGTTTGTAATTATGCCAACAATTGGTAGCATTTCTCAATCCATGAACGCGACCATTGTAGGCCTTTACATCAATGACCAAGGCCACTGCATTTAACGGTTGAAACAGTCTGAGGTAACGGTCATCTCAATCAATAGCGTACGCCTCTCTTAATAATAATAAGAAGGCATTGACTTAATTACAATTATTTAAGTTTAGATATATTTTTGTTTATGGTCTTCGGAAAAAGTCAATTGATGCCTGCTCTTAGTGTGAAGATCTCAGCATAAGGTAGAATATACATAGAAATTTATCGGAAGAGAAGAAAATGTATGTGGCTATGGATTTTTTTATGAAACTAAGATCAAATGTTTTTCCTTCCAAAATAACTGAAGTCTATGCTTGACTCGTTCAATCTTAGCACGTAGAGAACAATTGATATGACATGATGCTCCTCCATACATTAACAAAATCAATTAATTTAGTAACATTACCAATAAGTGTTATGCTACTTAACGAAAATAACACACACCTCAAAAATAAATAATACTCTTTGTCATTTACTATATTGAACATACTATATAATAGGATAACGTAGCAGAATTATATAAATAATACGATAACGTAGAAAAACACAAATACCTGACTAGAATCTGTTCAGATTCATTTTACATACACTACAATTTCATCAGTAGAGCGGTTGAAAACTTTCCCAAATTATAGGCCTAACTGAATAAAACAATTCTAAAAACTAGAAAACATTTCAAAATTTTGTTTCCTTAATAGGTTTTTAAAATTTGGTTTCTAAAAATCGAGTTAATATATATATATATATATATATATATATATATATATATATATATATATATTCTAAAAGTTGAGATAAGAAAAAGCCTAATGTCATAAAACAGCCTTTTATAATATTTGAAGAATTTTTTATGTTTCAAAGTATTGCTTTTAAAATAACAAACAAACAAGACCTGAAATATATGTTTGTTTGTTATTTTAAAAGCAATATTTGAAACATAAAAAATTCTTCAAATATTATAGAAGGCTGTTTTATGACATTAGGCTTTTTCTTATCTCAACTTTTAGAAAATTAGTTAACCACGCAACAAGTCTTTACTTTCAAACGATTGGAAATATTCTGGCTTCAATTTTTAATAAATGCCCATCACTTTTAATATTTTCTTAAAGCAAATGATAATAGGTATCACTGTACTCACTACTAGTGTTGAGGTTGAATTTCGCCGCGGTCTAGTACGACACCGTTTCCTGCAAAATAAGGATGGCAAAGTCAAACACCGGTGTGGTGCCGGCCGTTGACCCTCCGACGATCAAGTTAGCAAGGATTCTCGATAGAGAATTTTAATCGTAATTTGCTTAGTAGGAGTTTTTTTTGTGTGTACCTTATCCCCGAGTCGTCTTTGTCTTTATAGTCACTTCCCTTCTTCTTGATAAGGGAGTTTCATCGTCCTTAGCCCATGGAGCCTACCTCGTGGAAATCCTATCCTTGATAAGATTTGAACTTATCCCATGACAAATCATATCCTAGATACGATTTGTCGTCATTCTTATCTAATAGAATGGTTATCCTTAATAACGAGATATTATCGTCTGAGAGTTGGAGAAATCTGGTGGCAGGTCAATATTTAATTCCCCTTTTTTGTAAAGTCAAGATAGGCTAGGGTTATTTT